GAACCTTTGGCTCCCACTGTCATCCAACACCTTCTGCACACTGGAGTCTCACAATTAACACTGTGATACTGATCCCTCCTTGGATTTTGGATTTTGTGGATTCCAATCCTTCTGTGACTGATTGTGGTGTGCTTCTTCTGTGTGGACTTAGTTGACATTTCTCTTAGATGGCTGCTTGTTTGGAGACAAGCTTTCAAGACCCCAAATGCAATGTTATCTGATAGCCGGGCACCATCTAAATTCTTCGCCACATTTTGCTATAGAACCGTATCTTCAGTGTTCCCTTCCTGAGGGCAAGTATTGAGCAGGGCCATGATATGAAAGCCCATTGTTCTTAAGTTAGAGATAGAATGTAGTGTGACTCCAAAACCTATTCCTGGATCTATGCTTTTATTTCCCACCCCCTTTTAATTTGCTGTAATTTGGGAGTTAATACCTGTCATATCATTCCATATTCATTCATGACAAACAAAATTGTACATTTGCTTCCATAATCAGTCTCCAAACAGACTTTTCCTTGACGTCATCTCCCTTTGATCTCTCCCACCTCTCTTGATCCCCTCCCCCTCCCAAACCTTGTTCTATTTGCTTTCCCGATAGGCTCAGTGTCCTTGGGTTTCATTTACCAAAAAGAAGAGAAACAACGAACACAAGTTCAAGAAAGTGAATCTCCACGGTGACGCACCTCTGAGATACACACTAATATGAACAAGCATAAGCAACATATAACAGAATGACCTTCACAGGGTTGCCAGGATGATACATATCTTCACACAGCACATAGGGTGCTGACGTAGCAAGGCCTTGTTTGTCTGCCAATTAGTAGTATACCACTCTTGATGCAGTTGTCTTCTGTTCCTCAGACACCAGGTATTTTCTGGCGTAAGTCCTCAGGTTACAAGTGCATCTGAGGTAGAATCCAGTTCACTCAGTGGAATTCCCACATGCAGCCTCTGGAGCATACTTTGCACCTAAAAATCCAGAATTCAGTGTCCCCGCGTTCCCCAGCCCCCTGCCTGGTCCCCGGGATACCTCCAGATGCCCTAGTTCAATTTGCCCACCCCCTGCACTCCACTAAAGACACTCCCCAGTAATGTTCCTCAAAGCTCCTCAGTCACTCCTCCCCCATATTGAGGCCAGCCCATCCTCCCCTCCCCCCAACAGACATGCACCTATGTTCTCCCAAACGTGACCATTCCCTCTCTCCACTTCTGTGTGCCCCTCTC